AGCCCGTCTGCAGCAGCCAGAGCAAACGTTAGCCCGTCTGCAGCAGCCAGGGCTAACGGTAGCCCGTCTGCAGCAGCCAGGGCTAACGTAAAACTTGCTGTTTTATCTTACTGACCTTCTGTGATGACCTTATTTTTTCCGTTTCTAGGCGGCTCCAGGTTACCACACTGCAAAAATGATCATCAAGCTGATCACATCCATCGGGGACATAGTCAATAACGACCCTGTGGTGGGAGACCGCCTTAAGGTCATCTTTCTGGAGAACTACAAGGTCACTCTGGCTGAGAAGGGTAAAAACAGCAGCAGCACAAAGACTCGTGCTAATTTCACACCGCAAGCAGCAGAGGCACCTAGTTTACATGCAGAGTCAGTGGTTGATGTACATCTTGGCGCTTGGTACAGCTGCTGGAGTTGGAAAAATATAACTTTAGCTGCTGGACGCGCCGCATCAACCAATCAGAGAAGCTGATCTGGGAGCTGGCAGGGAGTCAGACGCAGCACTGCTGATGCAGAGCGCTTTGATCACTCCTCTGAAACTGTTTATTAACGCATAAATTGACTTAAAATGCTGAAGCCAGGCTAAGAAAGGATATGGTAGCTCCGCCCAACGCGCATCAGACCCACTTTTTCCACCGCGCAGCTAGAGCAGCAAAGATGCTTCAGTGTCAGAACTAATCTTGTAAAAGCATCAAAAATGAAGCAGCACTCGCATTTTTGCTGCTTCCGCTGTTTGCTGTCTGAACGTAGCATATTGCTGTTCCTGTCAGGCTTGTGTTGAAGCATCCTTAACTCCAGTCTGTTCCTAATGTTTCAGTCATCCCAGCCGCTGACCTTTCGGAGCAGATCTCCACAGCTGGAACCGAGGCCTCTGGCACTGGGAACATGAAATTCATGCTGAACGGCGCCCTCACCATCGGTACCATGGACGGAGCCAACGTGGAGATGGCGGAGGAGGCGGGAGAGGAAAATCTCTTTATCTTCGGCATGAGAGTGGAAGATGTGGAGGCGCTGGACAGGAAGGGGTGAGTTTAAACAGGAGGGGTGTTCTTAAATAATCCAGAACTCCGACTTCTGACGATCAAAGAATTCAACTTGGTTTATTTACATGGCCCCAGTTAAAGCACGTCATCTCAAGGAGCTTTACAGAGACGATCCAATCAAATCATCCGATTAAAGGTTCAGTTTTCCATCTAAGGAAAACCAGTTGATTGCATCCAGTCATTGAATTTGCAGGATTAGCTCCTCTTGAATGACAATGTGGAAACAATAGATATTGCAGTTTTTTGTTGACTCTACAGCAATCCATTCCACCCAGGGATTGCCACCACAACCAGGCTCAATGTGGCCTTCTGCAGAGGCTGACTGGGGTTCAAGGAGACAGAAACACTGACCCATGAATACTTTCAAAGTTGGAAAGCTAACGGTAAACTAGCTCCACAGGTGGCTCTGACTGGGACAGAAACAATTAATCAGACGACCTCCGAGCCAGTTTACACTTCAAATGGATAAAAGAGATAAGAGAGATGTAGTTAGTTTCAGTAGAAGCTGAGCGCATAGCTACGTCTAGGAGAGAAACTGGATTAAACACTGAAAAACAGGCCCAACAGGAACAGACCAGATGAAGCTACTATGATAAGAAAAAGCAGAGAGAGCAGAACAGATTGAACAGATTCTG